AAAAAAATTATATTTTGCATATAAAAGCATTATAATGTTTACTGATAATGTACCAAATTTCGTTAACATTCGCTTACTAATTTAAAAGTTATAGCATGAAAACTATAACAAGCACAAAATGGTCACGAGGTCGGTCTCAGGGACCGAGCCGGTGCTGAAAGAGTTATGAAGGAATTGTACAAAGTTTTGCATACATTATCATCACACTGTCCAAAGGACAAGAAATCAGTGATAGCTAGTTCATGAAGCAAACAACCACTTTTGTGTTTTGTAAGTATGTTATTTTCTATTCTTTCTTTAATATTAGTTTCATTAACAACATTAATTGAGATGTTTTGTATATAAATATTTATTTTTATATATTATTTTATTACAATGATTATTTTCCACAGTTAGATTTTGGATTTGGGACTAACTTAAATCTCCTAAGCTGGACAAACCTTGCCAGTTTGTTTGTTGAATTTCTTGCAAAGCTACTCAAGGATTATCTGTGCTAGCCATCCCTAATTAGGAAATGATAGACTAGAGGGAATGTAGCTAGTCAACACCACCCACTGCCATCCTTGGGCTACTCTAATCAAATAATGGGATTGACCATCACATTATAATGCCCCCACAGCTGAGAGGGTTAACATGTTTGGTGATGGGATTTGAACCCACAACCTACAGATTGCAAGTCTCATCTTCTAACAACCAGGCCAAACCTTGCCAGATAGTATTAGAATTATGACCAAAAATATCATTAATCTCAAGGTTATCCCTGATTAACCAATAAATTTTAATCATTAAGAGTATTTTTGTTGTTGTTGTTTGGTGACCTTACACATTCCTGGTATGAATAATATTTAAAAGTTGTTCTATTCATTACTGGTAATTTTTAGATCTGATTTGTAGGTAGTTTGCCTTAATCACAAGTTACTGATTAATTGTTTTACTTTAAAGAGCACACTAATAATGTCTATAGCTAAAGCAATTGACAGTAATATATGCATAAAATGTCCTAAACAATTTTTTTTTCTTCAAATCATTAATAAACCTTATAAAATACATGTGGAATGTACATAATACAATTCATACCACTTGTTCAAAATAACTTGAACAGCACTTTGAATGCAAAAAAAACATAAGGCAGTGATTTATGGCAATAATTTAATTTATTTACTTTAAGTATTTTGTTATATTTCTTTGAAATTTATGGTTGTCAGCATATCTTCTTTTCTTTAAAAATATCCGACACTTAATTGTTGTAAAATTTGAAATCATATTTGCTCAGGGTATTACTTAGAGCCTCAAATGAATCAATTGATTAAAATGTGAAGGAGTTAATGATATTTAATACCTAAAACTTTATTTGCCATCATATGTACAACTGAAATAATCACAATCCTTAATATTCATTAAGTGTTAACAGTTATTTCTAACACTGAAATGATTATACATTTTATGATAGTTTACTGACTCAAAGTTTACAGCTTCAGTATAATAAAAGGTATATACACACACACAGAAATAAGATGACCTGTTTTTCCTATTATTTTATAATTATACTTTATAACCAAGGGTTAATTCTTTCACAGTTTTAACCACATTTCTGGCATGGTTTGCAATAGTACTGGCAGTAACAAGTTGCCTATACCAATACTGACCGGGTACCACCGGTAATCGAGCATCTCTAATCATGTGACTTCAGCAGTTTGAAATTCAATTATTCTTCCCAGTGTGTTCTCGTGGGAAAACGTTTTTCACCTAAAACCAAATTGTCAATTATCTGTAACCTCACCTGGTATGACGACTATGGCAATAAATCAGTTAATATCCAGGCTTTCTATTGGTTATAAATTTAATAGGAGTTGGCTTCAGAAAAGTCTATTAGGAAATTGTAAATTAGAGCATCAAAAGTGGTTTTTGAATTTTCATTGATTGCTCTTTAGCAACTGATTGAAGAATAAAAACATAGCTTCAGAATATTGATGACATAAAATCAAATTGTCAATCTGTAAGCACACATGGTATGACAACTATGGCAATGAATCAGTTGAAATCTAGGCTTTCTATTGAATATAAATTTAATGGGAGTTGGTCTCAGAAAAATCTATTAGCAAATTGTAAATTAGAGCATTTGAGCGGTAGGCATGGAAAGTAGTTTCTGAATTTTAAGTGATTGCACTTTAGCAATTGATTGAAGAATACACAAATATAGCTTCAGAATATTGATGAAGAAATTAGATAGAATACATTACATTTTGTAGTCTTATTATATTTCTATCTTAGAAAATATCATGGTGTGTGGACAACAGTTTTTGCACTTCTGCATTAGGAAGATTGATGAATGTCAGTGGTGGACTACATCTTTATTAGGAGAGTTGATGAATATTAGTGCTGCCAATATATTTTGGACTATTTAATCTAGATTTCTGTGTAAGAAGTTGGTGAAAATTAATAGTGCCAATAAAGTTGGCATACATATATTATATTTCTGTAGTGGGAGAGTTGATAATGTCAATGTGTCTGTACTAGTTTGACTATAATTTCATGTTAGAAGAGTTCATGAATATTAGTGATGCCAAAATACATGAACTGCACAGGCTATGTTATAATTGCAAGAAGATTTTAAGGTTGTGTATTAAATCATATTAACTCTACAAGCATGGGATTGGTCATTTTGATCATCCTTGTAAGCATAAAACTATACCTACTATAATTCTTTACTAAGTGTATCCTCACAACATTTTGAAAGCTTTTAGTAAACATTACAAAATATTATTTTTTTAATAAACTATTTTTACTAGAGATTTGTCTATTGATTTTCTGAGTTAGTCTGATTCACTTTCAGTAGTCTGAGTGCAAGGTAATTTTCATATTAAGATACGAATAATTTTCATCTTACAATTTCCATATTTCATTTGTATAACCTCTAGAACCTCCTAAATGAATGTTGTTTCAGTGGAAGTTTAGGCAGAGTAGTTAGTCATAGTAGGTTTGAGAAATTTAACTGTCTGTTTCAGCTTCTATACTGAGGCCTTCTTTGGTATATAAACCAAAATGTTGTCTCCTTTTCTTTCAACAGGCAGCTGAAGTCCATTAAAATTCTCAAACCTACTCCTAAATGAATATCAAAAGTTTTTTTGAGTCAAATTGTATCTATTATTTTATCTATTCTAACACTAACTGTAGTCAAATCAGCAATGTAGGGTAAACTAAAATGTGGAAAAATACAAATTAAATCTATATTACCCTTTTTTTTTCTCTTTAGACTAAACGCATTTTACACACTATTCTTACAGTCAGTGCTAACAGACTTTTTATATTTGGCTTCATTCAGTTTTATTGCTTTAGTTGAACTTGGGCAGTCTCATAGTATGCCAAAAGGCATTTATCACTGTCAGACAGCTTTGTGTAAACAAACAATTGAATTAAAATCGTGCCTTGCCTCGCAATGAGTGCATGCTATAGGATATCAAGAATCATGAGAATTTGTATTTTTATTTGATTTTTCTTTCCTTTAAGTTTTCTTACCTAACCTAATAATTTTCTAGTTCTTACATTTCAGTTACTTTTATAACAATAAATAAAATATATACATCAAAAAATTAAATTTAGTACTTATGTCTGGACTTGGGATATTTGTTGTCAATGGATGAAGCACTTAGGCTTTTTATAGCAATGGTAGTGGTTCAAATTATTTATTTAAATATGCAATTAGAATACAAAACATTATCACACAGATCAAAAAACAATGTCAGAAACTACTATAATTTATAAATAGGTCAAAATTCTGTTAGCTGGTTGAACTCAATTCCCCAAAGGCAAACAATGAAACTGAAGCTAAATATTTCCTAACCTGGTACCTAAAACAAACTAGCCTCCAAATGAATCTAATAAACAAGTCTGTTCTAGCTATTGGTTATAAATTATCCAATAGCAAATGTCGGAGAATTTTTGACATTTCTTGAAAGACAGGATGAGATATAAGAGGGCGTGACATATGGGTTTGACTTTGTTTATATCTCAGTAAAAAAAGAAAATTGAAAGCATTAAATTTATATTATGGCTTAGTATAAATGTGTAATTGGTGGCACTCTCAGTTTGGAGAAAAGAAGCATCACATGACAGAGAGAAGGAAGACTGAGAATATATTTAAATATTTCCTTTTTTGAAATTAAGAGCTTATATAATATTAAAATCTGAATTATAAATTACATTTTGATGCCAAGTTAATTGAAATACATTGATAATAAAGTTTTTAATGAATCCAATATATCTGTTATTCTATAATAGCATGCATTTCTAAAAACTTATGAGTGAAAGTAAAGAAGAATGTTATAGTATGCCAACCACACTACATCTAAAACATCCATTGTCAACAAGATATTTCTCCTAATATCAGGGCTCATTTGGACAGCTGGGATATGAAAGACATAGTAGTGGTGCTGGAGTTAGTTATATCTCAATTTTCAGGAACAATGACTGTTGTGGTGTGAACTATATTAAGTATGTGAATTGTAATTATTATTAATTTGCAATGTCGGGCATACTATGTAGTAGGTCTTAACTGTTCCATTTCTCATTATAATATTGGATCTGTAGAACTTTAAAAGTCCATTGTTAACTTGTGTGTTCACTAGCAACTCTTGTACTTGGAAATTCCTTACAACACACACAGCTCATACAAAGAATATGTTTGCCACATGTTGCTAGAGAATAAAACATTTTTACTAAATTTAATTAATACTCACTTATGACAAAGAGGGAAATGGTCAAAAAACAACGATCTCCTAATGACTACACTACTCCAAAATATCAATCAATAATTGTGAGATTTTTTTTGTGTCGTTTAACGTATGAATTATCTTACCTAATGTTTTAACATATCTTACACAGGCTAACCTTTAATCTCTCCTAATCAGATGTAACACGAGCCAAAATTTATACATATACACATACTTACATAAGACATAAAAAAATAAAGAGGTTCTTTATATTCATTACTCTTAACTGACCTCCCAGTCTAAATAATCCTGTCCATCTTCAAAGTGTCGGAGAATTGAGACAGAGACATGAAGCTTGTTAAACTCATCCCGACTGATGGGGCTGAAACGACTGTCCTTTAAAGCACTGTTAACAGAAAAATAAACAAAACAGAAATGTGTTATGTAACCTACATGTGATTGGTAGCCATCCACAAGACCCTAAATAGTTCATAAACTTTTAATTCATGTATAATCCAGAATCTAGCAAATGAAATTATTGTTTCAGACACAAGTAACAAAATGGTACAAGTTCTTCATGTCTTTTTCATATAATTGCCATAATAAACACTAAAGATTATATTTATACCCTTAAAAAAATTAAAACAAACAAATATATTTCCATATATTCAGTCAATTCAAATCAAGTACATTTCTTCTTCCAGCTTATTCTGGCAATAAGCCAAACAAAATCAAAACACGTGGTTAATAACATACTACATCAGCTAATAAATTATACTGACACTCTTAGTACAAGTAGTTCCAGTGAAATGTTTAAGTTATCTGAAACTAAATGAAGCAGAAAGCATGATGAAATATTCTCTCTCAGATTCTGTAAGACTAAATGTAAAAGGCTAGGTAAAAATAAAAAACAAATGGCACTAAGATCAAAATATCTTAAAACTCACAATGTGACCAGATGTTTTTTTTAATTGCCAATTACTAAGCAACCATTTATCAAGTTCATACAAGACAGTAATGCATTTATGCAGGCCATTCATACAGCATAAACATTTGTCATTAAACCTAACTGAACTTGCAATGATCATTATTTACTTTAAATAATATTCTCATCACTAACTGTAGATGTAAGAAAATACCTTCCACCCACAAGCACAAGGACCAATTCATTAATTTGCAAACATAATAAGCTGCTATTTTGTTTGTAATGAAGTAACAAAAGAAAAACAGCTGACATATCTGAAACCAATCATCTTCTTACTATAATGGATGTAGCCTGTATGTCAGTATCTATGTATGTAACCAAAACTCCTGTGCCATCTATTTAATGGCACCATAAACAAAAATTCATAAAAAATTTCCCACTTTGGGTGTTCAAGATTCAGACAATTAAAAAAAATAACAATGGTATGTGTAGCAACCATTTCTTTATAACAGAACACAATTTTAAATAAAAGTACTCTCTTGACAACAAGAACACAACTTTCACTAGGAATGTATGCAAGGGTTTGATTATATCTTTATTGATGTGATTTTTAAATGTAGTACTGAGAAACTGGAGTTCTTAAAAATACTATTATTTTTTCAATAAACAGTACCACTTTTAATATATAAAAACATTACAGTTTATATCAGTAAAATTTATGAAAATTGTGAGCTCTGTACATTGAATCATTTTGATACAATGAGTTACTTATGACTAAAGAGTACAATCCAAACACTTTTCCCATGCAGTACTTCCCAGAAAAAAATCCTATTTTTGGAAAATGTGCACTTTTTCTCAATATTTTTCAATTATGTATGAATATAAAATTAGAAATTACTAGCACAAACAGCCACCCATATAGTGGCCATTTCTGCTAGTCAAACAAATTATAAAAAAGCAGAAAAAGTCAACAAATCTTGCATCTATTTCCAACTGTGCTTACCTTGTCACTGCATATTCCCTGAGTCCAGAGTGTAGATTCATGGAGTTGAAGGTCCCAATACATCCTCTCAATCTCCTGTCTTTTCCTATCTTCCAGGTAACAAAAAGAGGGCTAAAAATAAACCACAGGATTGAAATTACTTAATCAACTGAATTAAAAAAAAAAAACATCAATGACCTATCTAACAGCACAATAATTATAAAAAATAAAAGACAATATTAAGCATTTTTAAATGATCAAAAATCATCTGTTAAATTTTTCATATTATTAAGTAAGTAATGTTAATTAGATGAGAGAAAAGAAAGTGCTGAAGTATTTGTATAATTTTCAAACTGATTTATGAAATTGTTTTTTTTAATGTAGATGTTCTAAGTAGTAAATATGATGTTAAGAGAAGATTTGTATAATTTTAAATAATTTAAAAATAAAATGAACTAAGAATTAAATTCAATTATAATAGTTTCGGGTTAAGGTGTTTAAATAATGAAACCTTTTATCAAAAGATTAATTAATAGCACAATATACTGATCCACCAAAATTTAAATATTATAGCAGACTGATATATTAATAAAACAATATTAAAATCACATGAAGGAAAACATTATAATGTTTATTTTTGTTTCAAATAAAATGTTACAAAAATTGCACAAGAAGTTACTTTAAGAAATGTTTTTCTCAAAACTAATAAGCATTGTTAATAAAGAAAATATTTATTAAATATATTGATATCTATTAAATTCTTATCCTAAATCAGCTTTACACAAACAAGTTTTGGTTTGTTTTTTGAAAATGTCATTAAACAATGGTTTCTTAGGTTCAATTTGAGACCACTGTGGTATACATTTATAATCATATCATGTAGTCAACTAATTCTGTTATGGATGAACTTATCCAGTCTATCTTATTGTTATACAAGAAATCTAATCAAAAACACCTTAGGTGTGAAAAAAAAAAAGATGCAGCCAAAAAAGAATTGAGCGTGCAACTTAAAGGAATGAAATCAAAATTGCTGGCCAAACTGGTAGCTACACTTATAGCATTGATAAGAATTTTACAGCCAGGCCACATTTTTGTTTAACTTTGGGCATGATGGTGGGTAAAATAAAATGTGCAGTGTAGTTAACTAATGAATGAATATTTCCTGTAAAATTCCTATCAACGCTATAAGTGTAGCTTCCAGTTTGGTCGCCAATTTTGATTTTACTCTTTTAAATCTCATGCTCAATTCTTTTTTGGATGTACCTTTTTTTCACACCTAAGGTGCTTTTGATTAGATATCACAACTTTTTGCCAATACACACCAATAAAACACAAGTCAGAAAGTGACACTAGATTGTAACCAACATTAGCTTTAGAATCGCAACTCTATTATTTGGAACGGACCTTTACTTTACAGAACAACCAGATTATTCAAAATATGTGGTGGCACTTTTTCCTCTCTAAAACAGTGTTAATAGTTTCCTTTACATTAATGGCATGGAATTTAGACTAGAAATTTCTTGTCATTACCCCTTTGGAATCGGTACAGCCTTATCAATCATCATTATTTATGCTAATTGCTTAAGCTAACATCACATGACATAAACGCTCTTTAATTAGAATAATTTCATAGAATTTAGTAAATTTGTGCTGAAACGTTGTCAATGAATAATCAATAATAACCATCCACCAGTATGAATCTTTTGAAAACTTGAGCTAGAAACTGATAATCTAGTTTGCTTGGCCTAACCAATACTTATGTGTCTGCACGTCTTTTCACCATTCAGTTTTGCTGCACGAAATCAACTATCTTTAATCTGAATGACAAAAAACTAAAAAACAGTCCACTTTTACTTATATGTGAAGCTGTAGTAAAAATGTTAGACTGATAGCTCATGTGACTTTTTGCATAAGCGTGTGCAAATTTTTTTTATTAAATTTGAGTGGCTTTTGTTGAATAATTTTGCACATCTCATTTATACTTACATCAAATGAGACCTTTAACTGTAGGTTGAAAAGATCTATCAGTGTACCAAATTTGTAAAAAATCCATAAAAGTTAAGTATGTTTTTCTATCAAATAAAGTTTCCATACTTTCGGTGTGAATATAAAAAGGAAAAAAAATTAATCAAAATTGGAGATGTTATATCTCAGGTATTTCTTAATAGATTGCCTTGAAATTTGGTATGTGAAGTAGAGTCCAGTAGAGAATATCCACTGAAAATATGCAACAGCTTGGATTACTACAGTCCAGCTACAGCAGGTGGAAAAATCACAAGACATACTACCATGTGTCTCGATCTAAAGTAAAACAACATCAACTGGAGACTACTCAACAACAAAATTAGTGTTTTGGGGAATTTTAGAAATCTACAACAATTCAATATGAAAATAGTACTTATCTGTAAAAATAAGCATTTAAAATAACAACAGTCTTCAAAACTGTATAAAACAATTACAACTGTATGTTTTGAAGAGTAAAGAAAATTTTTAATTTGAAGCAATGGTATATACACAAGCTAGTCTACAGGTTGAAATAAGGAGTATAGTAATAATATAATGTTTCCCAAAACTAGCAACTGTATTAAATCTGAGATAATAATTTCAGAAGATGCAACTCAATGTTTCAGACTTCAGCTAAATACTTCTCTATTATATGTACATTTAACTACCTGCTAATATCTTCTTGTGTGTCTACCATGAAGTGTTATACAAGTTGCTAAGACTGGATAGTTACTTTATAAAAAAAAATGTTAAGCCTTCCTCACATCTTAGTTCCAATTGTACAGAAAGATATATTTTACTTTGAACATCTAAATGGTTTTCTATACATTTAGAAATACTATATTAAATAAGGCCAAAAACTGAATATTTTACCACAATCAACATACTATCTTTTATTAAAAAAGCCATTTTCCTATGGTCATTACTCCTCTAAAAAAATATAAATATTTTTTTTTTTCATTGTTAAACAGATAATCTAAGAAAAATGAATGTTTTGAATTTTGCACATCATTGGTCAGATACAAAACAACAACCTAAATATAATAAATATTTCATATTAGAAAGTATGGGTTGTTTAGAATGTGTTCAAAGATATATGTATAAGCAGTACTTGATACACTGTTTTACACATACAATTTAGTGCACAAATGAGAAGCTTGTATCTGTGTCTACAAGAGAAGAACACTTGGAAAATGACTTAAATAACCACTGTATCCCCAAAGTTTGTGCAAGCTATCATATGGAAAAGTATTATAGAATTCAATTTAGAAATACATGGATTACACACTCAATAACAAAATACTAAGATAAGAAAAATAATGTTTTATTAACAGGGAAATTCATATGAAACTAACTTTAGGAATTTGTAGAATTCAATTAAATGTATTTAATATTTGTTAATCATGCTGGGTTTATGTAAGGACATAAACTGTTATATTTATTGTTATTGGAATTGCTAACATATTTGGCAAACATCAATGAAAAAAAAAAATTTCCAATTTTGTAGTTAATTCTCAACAAAGCACTGTAGATTTTTTTTCCATTTGTCAGAGGTCTATTCATTACATACTCCATCCCTATCCCATCAGAAAAGCATAATTAAATTGCTAAAAGGAGAAAAATTGCCTATACACCCTACATGTTTGAATAACTTACAACTCGTTTAATAACATAAATTTTAAAACAATTTATTGTAGTTTAATTCATGATGTGAACATCTGAAAACTTCAAGTGGACTTTATTCAAGAAACAATACACTATATAAAAAAAAAGGCAAATTAAATCTTATGATGATGATGCTATACCAATTCCAATTTAGGACATTCTGTAATTAACCAGATACTACAGGCTTCTTTATTTCCATGACCAATCACAAGGTCTAATAAACAAAACATGTTTTGGAAAAAAAAAAGGTGTGTGTGTAGTGTGTGTGTGTGTGTGTGTTAGATTATCATGGGTTATCCAACTGCAAACATTTTTCAGTTTTTTCCTTCACTTAAACACAATAAAATAAAAGATAATTAAGCCAGGTGTACCAATAATAACATAAAAGAAAACACTATTCAATTAACTATGCAATTGTTCTCTATAAAACAAAACAAGAGTTTAATCAATGCTATTACAAACTGTTCCAGATTTCTACACCAGTTAGAACAACTTACATAGTCTGCACCTGTTCAATTTAAAAAAGTGCTATATAGTAAAATGTACCAGAAAGGTCAATGTCCTTAACAAATAAAAAGCATGATGGCTAAACAAGTACATGTACCATCAATTACAGGAACTGGATTTTGCTTACATATAACAGCTGCTTAATGCTTATAAAATTTGAATGGTGTTCTTCTAAATAAAATGCCTTTAACAGGTATATTTCAAATAAAAGAATATTACATGCATGTTTACTTCTGGTAGAAGTTCATAAAGTATGTTTTTTTAGAAATAAATACCTAATTACACACACACATCAACAGATAGGATGAATTCTAAAAAACTTCAAAGAACCTTAATTCTTTTATGTATACACTTTTCACACATCATGATTTTGTTGAGCTTACATCCATTTCTTGTCTTTAGATAAGTAAAAAGTACAAACAGTTTCAATGAAAATTTTAGGAATGGAATATTTAATGAGATGTATGGTAGTATTTTTTCTTTCATGGGTCTATGTTTAACATAAAGACTGGTTTTACACTATTTATAATTGGTATGATTAACAACAGACCTAAAGCTTTCAACAATCAATTTTATTACAACTGATTGAATGGATTTAGAGCCCATAAATGGTAACCACCAAATTATTTGTCCAACAGTAAAAATATGATTCAAATCAAACCTTATTATTCAAATGCAAATGTTTAAGTTATAACAGTTATGATATTTATTCACTGAAAATATAAATTTTATCTTTCCATTGTGCTTTTCTGGGTCAAACACAGAACAATATCAGTACTGAAAATGTAGCTGACTGCCTGTATTACACACCACTACATGCAACATAATTACGTGTCTATTAGACCTAACATTAGTTTCTCCATTTGTAATGTTATGCGTCATGTAACAAATAGAGCAAATAGCCTTACATTTACTTAGTGTGAATGACACATTCAAATAAAGTGAAGTGCCTAGAG